TTTGTATCACACGAGCGCTGGGCAAAGCGTCGTCTTCCATGTAAACATTTGAAAATGAACACGTGCGGATTCGGAAAATAAATATAATTATAATTACAAATTGAATTTATTTATAATTAACAGTTTATTTTGGTAGCCAAAAGTATAGCATGCAGAAAATTGATAAGGTGCTTATAAAACGTATGCTCTGTTCTCTGGGAATGGGAATCCAATAGGACTAAATCCTCCTTACGCAAAGACACTGTATTGACTTGTTAATGCACCTCTCATCAGAGGACACTTTTGTTAAACGGTTTTTGATTTGATAATTCGTTATGCTACGTTATTTAGAGCTTCTTAACGCTTGAAATATTTCATTACGTACTGACTTATTTTTGGTAGTTTGCTTGAAATTCAGGTATGGATGGTTAACTGATGCCACTGCTTAATTATTATTCATTACTAAGTAGATCACATTCACATTCATTTCTTAACAACCGCAGTTCACATATATGATTTTCATATATTCGCAGTCATGGATTCATCCCTTCACGGATTCATTAAGATCCAACTCTGGTATCACAAAGATCATAGGCCGTAGAGGCCTAATTTTTTTTTTTTCAGGCCTTATTTTCTTTCAAAAAGGCGTAGAATGCCCAGAAGGGATTGGTAATAAATTCATTATAATCTCTGTTGTAGCTTGGTATCCAAGTGTATGTATAATCCAGCAAAATTAATAAAAAAACATAAGGTCGGTCATGTAGCCACATAAAGAAAGCACCACAGTTGGAAGAACTCCCATCTTGAATGGATAGCAGCAGATATGTCACGAATTTAAGAAAATATATGACATTTATTAAAAACGCGATATGAGATGATATTCTTACGATGGGCAATAAAACCATACGTTTTATATTTCTATTCGAGGTGTGCAGCTGGTTTTCAATTATTTTTCTTTCCAACTTAGTTACAAAGCAAGAAATTAGTTGATGCCTCTCATAACTAATCTCATAAAGATGCTTTTTGGAAAACAAGTTCTTTGTGGGCGAAAGACAGGTGCAATCGATATCTATGCTTGACTAAATAAAAAACCGTTAAGAAACGAAACCTTGCTCTGGTTTGTAAACTTACTCGCAGCAATACACAGTAGATAACTAGCGACATGAAAATGAGATTTTATTCTTACGATGGGCAATAAATTAAAACTAAACACTTTACATTTCTGTTCGAGGTGTGCAACTGGTTTTCAATAATTTTTCCATTCAACTTAATTACGAAGCACAAAATTGGCTAATGTTTTTTTGCCCATTGAAAAACAAGTTCTCTGTAAGCGAAAGATAGGTGCATTCGATATCTATGCTTGACTAAATAAAACGATTTGCTCAGCATTCAGTTAGGCAAGGCAGACAATTTTAAAACTGGCGTACAGTTATCTGGTGGGAAACACAACATCGACAAGACACGTAAAGGACTATTTTGACTGTTTTTCCTCTGTCTGGAGCACGAATCATTCGCTTGCTTGTCGTTCCATATGGCTCGGAATACCGACAATGGCTATCACACTTATCAATTAAGCAGTTCAGAGAGATATCTTGAGCCGCAAAGAACGGAAGAAAGGGTCGGCTATGATTATTATGGCATGACTACTGAAGTATGTGATACATCTTAATTTTTTGTAGTTCTAGGTTAAAAAGTCTGCAACAACATTTATTAAACCCATTTTGAAATCACTGGTGGTCCCTGTAATCTGATTGGCTCTAATTGATGTGATTTATTCACGAATCGCACCATTTTTGCTTTAAGTCGCATCTTTTTCCCAGCCAATGAGGAGGCTATACTAAAAAAAAAACAACTAATCAGATTTCAAGACTTGTTTAAGTAACCGATCAAATTGCAGAAAAATGAAAGACGAAGAGTATCATATGGCAAATTTTGCAACTTTTCTTTCCAAAACTCTTACATTTCCCCTCAAAAAATGGATGAACTCAGTTTCCGACCGGCTCATAACTGCATCGGTAAAATATTTGAACTGACCAAGACCTGGGTGATTTCAAAATGGATGTAATAAGGTGGTAATTGAACCTCATGTCGTGCAATTTTGATTTGAAATCATACTTGTGATTTCAAATCAAACTCGCGCTATGCGCTCATTCGATTTTTAAATCACGCTATGATTTCAGCCCAAATTGCACTCCATTCAGTTTAATTACCATTATTAACCGTGACCAACAAGTTTACGACTGCTTTTTTCTTTAATGCGAGCATCTGATAAAGTTTAAAAGGTGTAATTTGTATTTCAATAATATGTTTTCGAAGTACAGTAACTCCTGTACAGAGCAAACCTCAAATTGACCGGACCCCTCAGAGCTTTTGCATCATACGAGCCTTAGACGAACTGAAGATAGAAAACTTAAAAAAGAAAAATGAATGAAATGAATGGTGAATTTTCCTGCCAGTGCCCTCCAGAAATGACCGTGCTTCCGTTTATTGACGGCAATTGTAATATTGGTAAGAGATTTGAAATTGTATGTAGGAAAAAGAATTATTAATTAGAGAAAAAAGAAACTACCGAAATTGACAATAATTTGCTAAGATTGCCAAGTTTAAAATATTAAAGTTCACACGGCAACCAGGTGGACAATCAGACATAGTTTGATGCTACTCTGGTTTGCAGATTTAATGAATGTAACCGAAGAAGTTACAATTCATAGACCCAACGTTTCGACACTCCTGTCTAGTGCCTTCATCAGGGGTGATCTAAACGCTGCAACAAGAGGTCCTTTTATATGATCACTAATTAGCGGCCTTTTTTTTCCGACGAGGTGTAAATTGCCAAGTTTGGTTCCCAAGAGAATCCCATACGTAAATATCTTAGAAAAGCCCCATTGTTTTTCGAATATAACCTTTTTTTTCTTCGATGACCCGTTGCCTTACACTACGTATTGATTTTTTAAATGCGTTTCCGTGTAAAATCCCATAACTACGAGAAAAATGCAAAGTCTAAGGCTTTTCATTTCTCTCCGGCTCAACCGATTGGTTTTTGAAAGATGTCAAGAAAACAGTGCAGCATTTTTCGTCTCTTCTGTTTTCTAAATCATATTCAAAGATACGAAGAAGATGGTACGCCTCAAATCTGTGGAGGGCGTGTTCCATATTAAAACAGGCAGGTACGAGTTAGACTATGACAACGCTAAACGTTTATGTGTACTTCAAGGAGCACAATTAGCCACATACAGCCAACTACACAAGGCCTGGCAAGCTGGTGCTGATCACTGCGAGTAAGTAAATGTTTACTTTTTTCTTCCCCTTTCACTTCATCTTTGTAACGGCCCGTTCGTCCTCATTGCTTAAAAATCCACATTGCCGTCATTTACATTACCTAGTTTTGGAGCTCTTCCTCATGGGCGTGTAAATGACACTCTTCCTTTTTTGAGTCCTATGTTTTATTATTACTATCAATTAGCGTGCATAGAAAAAAACCTGCCAACACCTACATTTTTTTTTTAGTATTTTCTTCCCATTAATTCTGCTGTTCGAGGCTGAAGGATGAACTTCAAAAATATAGCAAACATAATAAAATGATGCTTGCAATTAGTGCATTTCAATATATAACGTTTAAATACTCGAGCCTGAAGGCGGGAAGCTGATTAAAACTAAAAAAATAATCACCATCCTCCTTAATCATAAGAGAACGCTTACCCTCCGTAGCGCTTTGTGTAATAAGTCCCGTCGGACTTTGTAGAAACATTTGTCGTTCTTTGTAATAAGTTATGTACAGATGGTCGGAAGAAAAAAATGCATAGTGGTCAAAAATCGTGATTATATTTTATCATACTTATTGTACTTGATAATTTTTTTCTGAAATATCCCGCCTTATTAACCCACTTCACTATGCCTACGTCACTCATCATCAGTAATAATCAGAAAAAGGGACATCTCAAATGATGTGGCTGGTCTAAAATAACAATGTAGCGAAGAGACATCTCAGTATCGAAATTTCATGTTCAATTTTCATTCTCTATGTGCAACAGTTTGCAAAAAGGCATATTCACTCTGTCGCAATATCTTGAAAAAGGGAATGAAAACAACGATAGTTATTGATTTTTAACTCGAGCTTAACCTGAGGCGAGCTTAAACTGAGGCGAGCTTAACCTGAGGCGAGCTTAACCTGAGGCGAGCTTAACCTGAGGCGAGCTTAACCTGAGGCGAGCTTAACCTGAGGCGAGCTTAACCTGAGGCGAGCTTAACCTGAGGCGAGCTTAACCTGAGGCGAGCTTAACCTGAGGCGAACTTAACCTGAGGCGAGCTTAACCTGAGGCGAGTCATAAAAGAGTTAAGAGTGACAAAATTTCAAGATGAATATCCTAAGAATTAATTTTGGGAACTTTGGGGGTCGATTAATCCTTTTGAAATCACGTGCGAAAAGCTTATATTGATAGAGAACACATTTTCAAGTGCGAACCTAAAATAAATATTTAGGTAATAGCTTTTCGCAAGTCGGAATCCGACGTCAGACTTAAATTAATTTCTTTTTAGCAATGTAGTATGTAAGTAGGATTTGGATTTTAATAAAGTTATACAATGTAATACATTGAGCTTCTTTCTTACTGCATCTATTATATTTCATCCTTTTTGTTGTGCGCCCCTCTTAAAAGGTTGCATGCGTGGGTAGCACAGTTGGTTTTCAATTATTTTTCTTTCCAATTTTATTGACGCACGAGAATAGCTGATGTCTCTCATAACTGTACGATGCTTTATGGAAAACAAGTGCTTTGTGAGCGAAAGACAGGTGCATTCGATAACTATATTTGACTAAATAAAAATGTTTAAGAAACGAAAAATTGTTCTGTTGTAACACTACACAGTACATGACTCAGGACATAAAAATGAGATGTTATTCTTACATGGCCAATAGATCTATAAATTTTACAATTCTGTTCAAAGTGTCTACCTATTCAACTCTTTAATTTTGCATATTTATCAAAGACTGACTGCTGGAGGCAATCTAACTCTTACTGCTTCAGAAACTTTATCTAGTGATGTCATGCATCGACACAAAGGTGGAAAGTCTGATTACAACGAGGAAATTCGGCTCTCTTAAGACGGGTATTATCGTATTTAGCTAGAAAAAACTTCTCAAAGTCCAGATGCATTTTTGGTATCACATCGCTGTTTTGCCCAATTTTCTTCTCGGAATATTCCCATTCCTGAGTCTTGGTCAGCATTCAGTTAGGCAAGGCAGACAATTTTACAAACTGGCGGACAGTTATCTGGTGGGAAACACAACATGGACAAGACACGTAAAGGACTATTTTGACTGTTCCTTCCTCTGTCTGGAGCACGAACTATTCGCTTGCTTGTCGTTCAATATGGCTCGGAATAGTGACAACGGCTATTATACCTGCGAATTAAGCAGTTCAGAGAGATCTCTTGAGCCGCAAAGAATAGAAGAAAGGCTCGGCTATGATTATTATGGCACAACTACTGAAGTATGTGATACGTCTTACTTGTTTGTATTCCTAGGTTGATTAGTCTGTTACAACATTACCGTGATCAACAAGTTTACGACTGCTTCTTTCTTTAATGTAAGCATCTGATAAAGTTAAAAAGGGGTAATTTTGTATTTCAATAACAAACCTCAAATTGAGCAGACCCCAAAGCTTTTGCATCACACGGGCGTTAGACGAACTAAAAAAAGAAAAACAGAAGAAAGGCTCGGCTATGATTATTATGGTAGAACTACTGAAGTATGTGATACGTTTTAATTGTTTGTAGTTCTAGGTGGAATGGTCTGTTATAACTATAACCACGATCAAACAGTTGACGATCACTTTTTTACTTTTATGGAGTCATCTGATAAAGATAAAATAATGTAAATATTGTGTTTCAATAATATGTTTTCGAAGTACAGTAACACCTGTACTGAGCAAACCTCAAATTGCATGAACCTCCAGAGCCTTTGTATCACGCGAGCGCTAGACAAAGCGTCGTCTTCCATGTAAACATTTGAAAATGAAAAAGTACGAATTCGGACTAAAAAAATTATATTTATAATTATAGTCACAAGACGAAATGAGGAAAGAAAATGAACTTCACAAACAAGGAACTTAATAAGGGTCTAGAATAAGAGATTTGAATTTCATTTGCAATCGATTTCTCACACTTCGGTCTGTTGAGTAGACAGGATTTTTTGCCATGAAAACAAAAGCGCGATGTGAAATCTTCCTTTTTTTCTATGACTTCTCTATTATATTAAAAAACACGGAGAGTTCTAGGGTACTTTTGTAATAATAGGAGATATATTAGTCTCTTTTCAGGATATCTCCATGTTCTAGTAATCCGTGTAGTAATGGAGGGACGTGCTCTCAAGGCAAGCGGTCTGGTGAATTTTCCTGCCAGTGCCTTCCACAAGTGACCGTGCTTCCGTTTATTGACAACAATTGTAATATTGGTAAGAAGTTTGAAGTTGTGGATTAGAACAAAAAGAAACCACCAAAATTGAGACTTATTTGCTGGAATTACCAAGTTTGGTTGCTATGGGGATTCTATAACTTCATATTGTCGAAAGCCCCCTTTGATTTTCGAATATGACCTTTTTTTCCATCGTTTGCCTGCTGCATTACGCTACGTAATAACTTTTTGAACGCTTTGCCATGTAAAATTCCTTAACTATGAGACATATACCGAAAACGCCGCATTATTATTATTTTCTTCTGCTTTCTATATCATATTCAAAGACACGAAGAAGATGGTTCGCTACAAATCTGTGGAAGGAGTGTTTCATACTAAAACAGGCAGGTATATGCTAAGCTATGAAAATGCCAAACGTTTATGTGCACTTCAAGGAGCACAATTGGCCACATACAGCCAACTACACAAGGCCTGGAAAGCTGGTGCTAATCACTGCGCGTAAGTAAATGTTTGCTTTTTTCTTCCCCTTTCACTTCATCTTTGTAAAGGCCCGTTCGTCTCCATCCCTTATGGAAATTCCGGTGGCAATTGTCTGAATTTTTGAGTAAAACTCTATGGCAAAATCTTTATCTATAGGTATCATACTAACAGTTTGTTTTGGTAGTCGAAAGTAGAGCACGCAGAAAATTGATAAGGTGCTTATAAAACGTATGCTCTGTTCTCAGTGATTGGGACCCCAATAAGACTAAATCTTCTTTATGCTAAGACATTGTATTGACTTGTTAATGCACCTCTCATCAGACGACACTTTTGTTAAATGGTTTTTGATTTGATAATTCGTTATGCTACGTTATTTAGAGCTTCTTCACGTTTTGAAATATTTCATTAGGTATTGACTTATTTTTGGTAATTTTCTTGAAATTCAGGTATGGATGGTTAATTGATGCCACCGCGCGCTACCCAATGCAGACGAAAAAGGGAGATTGTGGAAATAAAGTTGGCGTCATTGGCTCTTCTTCACCAATATCCAAAACCAGCACCTACAACGCTTGGTGTTTTAAATAAAAGTGTCGCGAAAATGACGCGCGGCTCACAAACAGCTGCTGGTCTGGTTGACAGAGAACAAAAAAAAATAGAATGAAACATTATTTGCGTATAGAATTCTTATTTTGTGGTTTTTACCTTCTCAAGCAGAACTCAGAGAGACTAAAGAGGAGTCAGAGTTGCATTTCTTAAGTAAGCGGCTTGTTGAGAAAGTTTGTCGAACATGGCCCAACATGGTGTTGTCTAAGACAGAGTTTTCAGTAAATTTGAATCCAAAACTGTAAGAATAAGCTTCTCTACGGAATCGCAAAACTAGATTTGTGTCATAGTTTCATTAATAAGAAAAATTCTGTTTACATGCATGCTCAACCAATTGAGGTAACAAGCTTACTGCTTAATTAGTATTCCTTACTAAGAAGATCACTTTCATATTCATTTCTTAATGACTGCAGTTCACATATATGATTTTCATATATTCGCAGTCATGGATTCATCCCTTCACGGATCTATCACGAACCAACACCGGTATTGCAAAGGTTATGGGCCGTAGAAGGCTAATTTTTTTTCAGGCCTTATTTTCTCTAATGCTTAAACAGTGTTTGTTACTGCGAAGATCGCTTTCATGCGCGCAAAATGTATTCTGCTGCCCAGTTCGCTGAATCATTTCTCCGCTTAATTGAAAAACACTTTTCCTTATCCTCAAGATTTCCAACACCAACAGCCCTTTCAATTGGGCAAAAGTTTCACTACAAACGTGCCCAAAATTACCAAAAACCATCACTGTAAGTTCGTAAATAGATTTTCTCGTGTGTAGCCAATTGTGGGATCTAAAACAAATCAGTAATAAGTTGTTATTACCACTGAACAAAACCGCGGACTATAAGAGTCCTGCTGATAGCCAATTTCTATTAAGTTTGTTTAATCAAATTTTCTTTTCGGCCCGACTTTTTTTGCAAAGAACAGATTTGACTACTTCTGTTTTTAACATAGGAGTAAATCTCAAGAAGAAAGGTTTCATAGTCCTGGAAAACAAACTGCTTAAAATTCGTAATGCTTAATTTAAAAAAAAATTTATTCTTAGCGTGCATCATTGCTCTTGGGTTTAATCCGAAAAGTAATTATGTCACTTTAAAACACAGTGTGACACTTTCATTTTCCATTGTAGGCAGGCATTATATTTAGTTATTGTGGAGAGCTTTTATGATTTCTCTCTTCAAAAGCCGAGGTGCAGCGTCCTAGACAACTTTGAACAAATGCCCTAAAGCGTTTAAGGTAAGCGTGCAATGGCTATCGTGAACCTAAAAACGATAGGTGTTGTCGAAAAAAGCAAAAAAAAAAAAGTGTTGAAAAGACTGATTACAAAATAGGACTGTGCGAAAGGTGTTCAAGAAATTGTTAAAAAAAAAAAACCAACGAAGACACTTATGTAATAACTTTTGATGTTGTCCCGTAACGTACGCGACCTAGTGACATTCTTTGCCGAAATATCTTCGTCCGCAGTTAGCAGTTATCGTAAAGTGTTATATAATTCTGTAGCAGAGTGTTTCTTGGCTCTCGAGCTACGTGGCCGTTCCGAAGGATTTCGAGATAATTTTAGGTTTAGATTCGACCCGAAGGGTCTCAGAAGTAGTTTAGTGTTTATTTATTGGTGTTTCGTTAGACCAAAAGGAAAGAAAAGAGAACGATCTTATCTTCTCTTACTCAAAGACATACAGGCAGTTTTGATGATGGAAAAATTTTATTTCTTCTTACACAATCATCCTGCTGGTGGTATAATTGACTCTGGCAGCATGCTGCGTTAAAGCAACGTCTCTTTAAATAGGTAACGTCAAACTGCTCAATCAATTACCACGTTTCGCTGTGTCCACAGTTTTTTTTTACGGTCAACCTTCTACCTTCGATAATGATGTATTTCACAAAAAGCTTCACCATTTTGCTGATCTTTCTTGTCACAATGATAAAACCACTTGGTTTTGCTCAGCACCTGATCAAGCACGATAGGCAATTTTACAAAATGGCGGATATGGTCTTGGTTGGAGATTTAACATCAACAAGAAAAGTCAAGGACATTTTCGAGTGTGTCTTCCATTGCCTGGAGCATGGTCCATCCGCTTGTCTTTCGTTTAATATTGCTAAAACTTCTCACGATGGGTTCTATAGTTGTGAGTTGAGTGACTCGGAAAGGTGTCTGGATCCACAAAGAATGCAAGGAAATCCTAGCTTTGATTATTTCGGCACGTCTACTGAGGTAAGTTTTTGACATCTGCCTCTATAGCTCACTATGAAAACACTGAAAATGAGATTAACAATCCAGGGAATCGACATAAATCAACATAACTCCTGAACAATTACAATATAGTGACTGTACTAGGCTAAAACTTCGGATAGTAAATCCCACCATTCTAGGCCATGGAGGAACTCTAAAAAATGTCTTAGTTTATCCCTCCTCTGGCAACTGACTCGTAATCTTAACGCGAAACAGATCTTAAAAGGAGGACATACCTCATTGATAGCTGAACCTTCCAGAACAACAGTTGTTATGCAACTTATTTTGAAACCTTTTGTTCAATATGTCCATAACTTATTCTAAAGCAACTACCCTGTATTACCATTACCTCACCTCTACATGCGTATTTCGCCTTTTGAAAGTAAGAAACATATAAAATTCAACCTTCTAATCCCAGCTAAAGTCTGCTAGGTGAGACGATCGGACGATTATACCGCTTTCCCCAATCCTTTGCATTATGGATGGGAAAATAAGCCTAGACCAACTTGCAGCTGCTCAAAACTGCATGATCACAGAGCTTATTCCAGAACTTATCGGGTCTTTCCATCCAAATTAGTACCAAATATATCTTTTGGTTTTGAAGTGACTCCTCTCTAATCTGATTAGAATTTAGTTTATTTCAAGCCTATCTACATGTAACAACAGCCCATGTCGTAATGGAGGGACTTGCACTCTTGGTTCACGAATGGATGAATTTTCCTGTCGGTGTCTCCCAGAAGTTATAGTGCTGCCATTTATTGACGATAAGTGTAACGTTGGTAAGTCTAGTGAAAGTTGCTTTGCCTAAATTTTTTTGGCTTAACGAGGAAGAAAGCTTACGGGATACTGGATATCTAATTAACGAAATATCACCTTACTAATCATACGTAATAGGTTTAAAACGCTATTGCCATCCCAACATCACGCAAAGGTAATGATATAATGAGACATATTTCTTAAAGTTTAATATTAGGGCTTTTTGTCTTTTGCCAACTATCTTTGGTAATATACTGAGAACTCATACATGTACATACGAGAACTTTTATATTTGATCGTTAGCCCCTCTTTCCCGTTCATTCATAAATTCCGAAATTCTTTGAAAAAAAAGGAGAAAAAAAACTATAAAAACAGAGGCGAAATTGTAACAATGATTTCTCACGCTTAAATATTCGATGCTATGGGTAATTTCTTTTATTTAGATACGAACATCATGGGAAAGACGCTTCCTACAGAGCGAGTATTTCAAACCTACGCTGGAAGATACAAACTGACCTTTTACGACGCAAAGCGTCTTTGTGCTTTACACGGAGCTATGTTGGCCACATACAGTCAGCTGCACAAAGCTTGGCAGGCTGGTCTTGAAAGATGCGCGTAGGTTGCTGCTCACTTGTTTGTATGCATTTGTCATGGCTATTACGTGTCTACATGTAAATAATACTAGCTTACAGAATCTCGTTGCCATTTATAAGTTGCGTTTGCCAACATTTTTTCTCCTTTTGCTTTCCAGACGTGGATGGCTCATTGATGCAACCATTCGATTTCCAATGCAAACAAAAAAGAATGGTTGTGGGAATAAGATAGGCATTATTGGATCGTCCAAAAAACAAAACAAAGGCGACAAGAGCAACGCGTGGTGTTATCTTAAGTGACAACTCAACGAAGACCATGAATGAGAGAAAGGAGTTGGGATCCAGTCTTTATTTGTCACCTGAGAGAAGAGGGAGGGAAGGTTGTCGGGGGGAGCACGTGGTTTTGGGGGGTAAAAAGGGTTCGGGGAATTTGTAAAATTTACCGCCAATTAACTGCCAATATGAGATAAAAATGACATAAAGATTAAACGAAAATGAGCACCCTTAATAGATAGATGACTTGATTTATACACGGAAAAATCAACACAGTGTAATAGTATAAAGTATCTCATTGTGCCTAGCTGAACTAACCAATAATTAATACAGTATCATAGGAATAAAAACCAATCATATCATTTGAACTGCCTTTTTAGGATGCCTTGTCTCATTCAAAAGCAATAAGGACGTAGTTCATTTTCAAATTCGCTTAAGGGAACTGTTGATCGGATCAACCGGCAACATGGCACCTCTGTGGGAAAAAATTCTCTTCAAATAGTTGGCTCGAGTTTGTGGAACAGCCAATTTAATAAATAACTTTCCGAGAACTAAAATTTTTGAGCGACAAAACGGAGCATAAAGCTAACACAACACAGATAGTAATTCAGATTTTGGGATCATATTCCTCCTTTAAATAAATCCAAGACATCTGAAATGATTTTTTTTCTTATTTTTCTTATTTTTTTAACGCAAGTAGACATTTCCGTTTAATACTTCTGTGATCGTGTTTTAAATTATTGCCCAGGGATTACTCCTATAACTTCAACAGTCTGCATCCGCTCTCACATCAATAGACATGTTAACGATATCTCAGGTTTTGCTTACATACATTGCCAGCGACACATGGTAACTGATATGAACTATTTGGAGCAGTTTTCACCCTTATTTGTTTCTATAAAAGTAACTAGTGCTAATGCTTTTAGAAAACTTTAAATTTTGAAGCTTAAGTATACATGGTAAATATTGATCAGCAGCTACAATGCGACTACAGCCCGAGGCTACTGCTGTAACTAATTACGCTTCAACATAGAGAATCTGAGAACTCAGCAATCCTTATTTCATTCCAGTTGTCGTCAAAAAGGCGCAGAATGCCCAGAATGGATTGGTAATAAGTTCATTATAATCCCTGTTGTCGCTAGGTATCCAAGTGTATGTATACTCCAGCAAAATTACTAAAAAACATAAGGTCGCTTATGTAGCCATATAAATAAAGCACCAAAGTTGGAAGAAGTCCCGTCCACGTAAAAAAAAAAAGAAAAAAAAAAGATTAGATGTTCTGATCAAACAAAACCGCAAAGTTACGATGATTCGCTATCACATATGCAGTGGACCCGATGAAAATGATCGAAAAGAGCCAGAAAAAAATGCGATCACAAGTAACAGCAATTGAACGCCAGATTTTTTTATTGTCATCTTCTGTGAGCTCAATGCCATTTCCGTCGCCCTTTACCTCTGTCTGCTGTGGCTCCGTATCAACTGGGACCTGAGTAATATTCGGTTCTGCATCACCTCCAACTGGATTGCTATTGTTTGTTACGGCATTGCCTCTGAGGAGTTTTGTCATCGTCCACTTTCCTCCAACTCTTATTTTCTTTAATTTCTTGGCTTTGCGCTTCTTATGCAGAGTTTTAAAACAGTTGGGTGGTTCACTTGCTGAATGGTAGATCCTCAAAACAATAATCGTACCAATCAATGCCAGGGCTATCTCAAACATAGTGATGGTGTAGTAGACACCAAGAACTGGCAACGTATCCGACTTTTCTGGGAGCATATCAGCCATGATAAGGAGATAAACACTGATTGAAAGCATGACGGTGGAACAAAAACCAATCCGTTCACCATTTTCTGGAGGAATAGCGAAACTGGCCAGAACCAACAGGGTACAAAGGACGCAAGGTATAATCATCAGCATGATATAATAAAGGGGCCTCCGTTTGATCTTTAGTGTGTATGTGATAAGAGGGTATTCCAGCCTTGCATCTTCATGTCGTTGAGATATCTTCCTCGAAATATGCACGTACATGCGTTTAAACTCCCATTCCCCATCCTCATCGAGATGTTCGCTCTTATCTTGTTTTCCTAGAAAAAAAGTCGAAAGATTAAAAAACAAAACAAAACAAAAAGGGAATAAAAGGGCACTTATCACTTTCAATTGAACTCTCAAGACATTCGCGCTAAAGGATGGATTTCTCACAATAAATGCATAAAGGAAAGCATAACCAGAAACTCGTTTACAAGTAAACAAACAATAAACAAATGCCAGACTGCTACCTAAAGGGCGTATGGAATGAATTTCCAGCATATTACTTCCATAACTCGCCGAAGCAAAAGTAAGAGAACACTCCTGCTCATCGAAAGGAAACGAGCTGACCTCCACGCTGCAACTACTCTCAAGGTTTGCCATGGATCCCCAACTACACCCTCCAGTGCTATTAACTGCGACCCAGTTCTTGAACAGTTCAGTGTGACCAGCTTTCCGAACCTGTTTATCACCACTAGAAGCAAGGCAAGAAAACAACAAAAATTATAAATAACTCTCTGCTCAATTCATTTATTTTCAATTGATGACTGACGGCTGCCGATTATTAACTGATTGATTGATTGATGCACTTTATAACGGACAAAGTTCTGGCTGTGTGCCTGCATTGATCGATTTATTGACTGATGGATGTACTCAAAAGTCATAAGTGTGCAAGCATGGGATCGAAAATGACACTCAAAAACAATTTAAAACCCAAAAGTAATTTACTTGTTGTAAAGGACAATGTCTGGCACCCATATTTCCGTTGGGCTCACGAGGATCTGATCAATACCTCCATATTCTTCTCTCTTCCATTCGAGGAACGGATTCTGCCACCTCTGCAAAATTTTAATGATACCACAACTGAGAGAAATGAGTTCAAAGAAAGCGAGAAGCGGAAACCATCCAATAAAGTAACGATGTCCCAGGTCTCTCTACTTTTGCACTTGTGGTTGTTATAGTTACTACCTCATAAGTTTATTTATTTGTAAGCATTCCGTTTAGTCGTTCAAATTTTCGTTTGTTGTCATGATCAAGTTAATGAATAAGGTAAGAAATTTATGAATAGATGATTAAAAGAAAGAAAAAAAATAAATCCATGAATGAATGCGTAAACAATGAACAGCTGGATAAAAGAGTGAATAAAAGACATTCTTGGCAAAGCACAAGTATACAAATGCACTAAAGAGCGACTGCGTAAAGCGCAATGTAGTAAACACAAACCTGTAAAATCCAGACATTTGTTGCAAGCATCTGGCGTTTATTATCCTGTAATAGGCAAACACAAAATAACTCTGCGAAATCCCATGGAACGAAACGAATGATTTAAATTAAACTGTTTTTCTTGTTTTAAACGGTGTTGATTGTCATTAAAGTAATGATAAGGAGAGACTAAGATACTGGCATTCAAAAATGAGCAGTGCAGTGTAACAGTATCTACACCTCTAGGCGGGTATGTCTTTTCTACCCTTTAATAGGGTGAGGTGAAGTCTTGATAGGCTGTGATAACCTAAAAAACAAACAAACTAACTTACAAAAAGTCAACAACGTTAACAACACCGACGAACGTGTGATGAGTTTTAAAAGTTTGACTTTGAGGGACTGGCAAACAAAAATGGATTAGTGACTGCCGGATAATGTGTGGGCGGGCAAATCGGTTTAAACATAATGTTGTGATTGATTGCGTTGAGACATGCAAGATTATTCTCACAGGCTGACGGTGTTTTAATTTCTTTGTTTGTTTGTTTCTTTTTTCGGTTTGGAATCATTTGCAGTATATGTGTTAAAACAATGATAGATTTATGTTGGCATAAAAAACAATGATAAATCTGCGATGGCATACCAGGTCTGTCAAGTTTAAAACGTCCATATAGAAAGAAACATTGACGGCTTCAGAGTAGTTTTCGACAGGACGGACCATGGGGTCCTTATACTTTAAAATGTCCAAGCGAAGTTTGTATTCTTCTGATTTGTTTACGCTAACAGTGATTCCTGAAATAATGATAACATAAAAAGTACTTAAAAGATACTTGACATTGATCCACGTAAACTGTCCAATGCATAAGCACCGGCTGAGATCGCTAAAAAATTAGCATTGGTAAAACAAACGTGGGTAAAAACAAATTCGAGTTGTTACATTTATTTATTAAGAGTTATTCTCTTCATTATCAATTACCAATAATTGTGAGCAATAGATAATAGAGAGTTATAGATCCACGCGGGAAGCGTGAGAGCTTCTTGAGGCGAAAACTATTCTAGCTCCTCGAGTTTAAACCGCACATGTCGTTTTATGAATGCTGGGACGTGCGCACATAGAGATCTACACCATAGACACTCCGTAGAAATTAGGTAGGGCTTACTCTCTCGAACACGTCTTATATAACTATCCTCCTTGGAAAATTATTAGTAAGTGTCTAATTATTACATTCATGTTGGTTGAGAGAAAAAATTTTCATTGTACATGTAAACTCGCCCTATACATGTTTTCGTATTAAAATAATATAAATAAAATTATATAAAATATTACCCTCGTTTTAAATAGTATGCATACATTGCCTACATCTGACAGATTAGGAAACTGCATAAAGTAAAGGGAGATTTCATCTGAAGCTCGGAAATTCTCTTTCAATTTATTCCTGTTTAATTGTTGCTTCTTCATTTATTACATAGAGAATAATACATGGGCGGGCGTAGATGTGGAATTTTTCTTCGAGTGATTAACTCAATAGCGCACCAGTGAGCGCAGCGGACGAGTGAGATGGCAAGTTGAACACGAGAAGAGAAATTTTGTATTTGCAAGTAACCATCTATTATTTTGTTTATCATATATACACAATAGAAGTTTAATGGCAAAAAATCTTATCTTGTTTATTAATGGATGAAAATAAAAGGATTAACAACCCCGAATAAAAATCGCACAGTGTGTTGGCGCTAAGGTTCAACATGAAAAAATGCGTTGAAACATTACAAAAAAAAACAACAACAATGGGCGTAATTTTCACTAAACGAAATTCTCGGTTTTGACTAGATCCTTACTGACAGAAGAAGTCTCTCAGGTACACGGCCAAAATCGGCCTGTAACAAATCTTCCAGTTGTCGATTTTCGTTCGTAGCCACGAGAAATGCCATTACTAAAGCCATTGTTGCTCGTTGCTCGCTAACTTAGTTTTATAGTTGATTTTTTTCCAGTAGCCGATATTTTTTTCATAGAGATAGAAGTTATAGAGTATTTTATTATAGCTACACATAGGTCAATACCAGCTTTTATTATGGTACTAGCTGATCCATTTTGTAGGGTAAATAAAGTTATTATATTATTATCATTACTATTATTATTATTATTGAATACATAACTTTCGGTTTATCTTTCCGTATAAGGGTTTACTTCCTCTTCCAGGGAAGACTAAACGTCACCGTCTCTAAGCAATACTGATTTTTCAGTGTTTTAGCAGCCATAAACCGAAAAAAAAAATAAAGGCAAATGACCTTGGATGGAGAATGGTGAAGTGACGTGTCAGCAGCTGGTTGACGATATCAAACACACATCAAAAAATACGACATTTTTTGACATGTGTTGTTACGACTTTTCTCAGGGCTGGAAATCCTTGTATAACACCTTAGTTTATATGATAAATACTTAATATGTTATCCTGATTGATTTTCCCTAGTATGGCTTAAGGGTCATTGTTTAACGGTACTCCTTTGTCCCGCTTAGGCCCGCAAACCTGTTATTGGTTACAAACCTTCTGAGGCAAGCAAAGTCACAACACCAAATGCTATAACTCCAAGAAGAGGAAACGTAAAATTCATCTACAAAGAAATCGCAACACATGAGCTATGCTAAATGACGGTTAAACATGAACGTAAACAAAGAACAAAAAACAGCGTCCAGCAATGTTTACTACAGACCCTCATAATAAACCTCAGATTATTAAACGAAGCGAACTCATCATCGTCAAAATTACTCATCAGCGTAAAATTAAGTCTTAGAACGTACTGGATATTGGTTATTATTTTATCCTATTTCATTGTTGGGATAGTGAATAATTTGCCGACATTTTAGTCTATTTGTTGGATTAAATCATAGCACGAGAGAAAATAAATAGCAGTAATAAATCAATTCCAAATGGGAGAAAAAAAAAACATCTTGGATGCTAATAAACTCCTCAATCACTTGGAAAATGAAAACATAATATTTATAGTTCAATTTCTTGTTGCTTTATTTTATTTTTTCTCTTTTAGCTTACTTAGATTTGCATTTTCCTATGTCTCGTGTAGATAAGGAAAATAACAATCTGTTTTGGATGAAAGTTAAAAAGTAAATAGATAAAATAAATTTAAAAAGAGTATTGAACCATAGTATATGGGCTTTGAGAAAACGCTCGAATGCAAATGATTAGGAAACTACAGTAAAATTTTCCTCTGCCACCACGATTTTTTTCCCGTAATATGATCGGATCGAAAAATGTCGAGTAACATTTGCATACTAGAAATTTTTCCTTTCAACGCGTTTTTCCCCTTCAATTGAAAAAGATCACGACTCAGATTTGCTTTATTCGAATGATAAAAAAGTAATATTAATAATAATGTCAAGGAAATAGTTGAGGGCTTTTGTGGCGAAGAAAACACCTTTCTTCGGTACTTTTATTGGATATTAATATATTTATCTTTGCTTTACGACACGAGTATCTAACGTTAAAGAGAACAAGTAAGAGAAAAAGAAGTATTTCACTTCTGCAAAAAAGGGTCAAATTGTCATTTGCTTAATCTGTCACTGTTCTTGGCAGAAAAGTTTGGTCTGTTGTAAAATGAAAAAATAAAATCACTTTGGAGGAGATTCTTCTAACCCTTTTCATTTTATTTTTTTCCCATGGCTTGGCAAAAGAAGAGATGATTGTCTGTGGAAGGGCAAAGATGCATGGATGCACGGAAGTAAATCCATCAGAAAAAGCTAACATATGAAAATAAATAAACTACATTTACCTTTTATCAGTACATTTGCTCTTTTCCAGTGGCTTTTCTTCTGTTCAGCGCCCTTATGAGCCCCACCACGGCTTTCCGAAGTCGTTCTTTCCTCTTTGGTTTATTTTGCTCAAACTAGAACGCGCTTATGAAACCAATTTGAACTTCGTCATAAGCCACCAAAAAGCAAATCAAGAAACAATATTAAACTTTAAATCACTATTTAAAATATAACCCAAGATAATTAAAATTCAAATGAAGCTGCCCACCTGCTCGAGAACAACGTTTTGAAGGTAGAAAATAATTAACTTCCCTTTCTCCGCCCTTTACAATACACGGATAGTTGTTTTTGAAGGTAGGTAGAAAATTAATTACTTCTGTCAGTTTTCAAATCTAAGTGCTTTATTTCAACCTAAAAAGGAAGTGATAAAGGATTGTAAAAGTCGTCCCTTGTTGAGGTATACATTTTTTTGATTAAGTTACTTTTTGTAATGCAAATTTAGTGATTGGAGGTACTGTCTTTGCAACTGACATCGTACTGTGACACTGGGAATTCGAAGATGATTTCCAAGAGATCTTGCTTGATCTCTACCTCCCACTTCGAGAACAAATCATCCAGAGAACACGCTCTGTCAACTATGTTTCCGCGTTACAGTTCCCGGGAAATTTGCTCGGAAATTTGCAAAACTTTAAGGAACGGTTAATTTTGGATGAAAGTTCCCACTTTATTTGAGAGTCAAATATGCGGCCCTTGCGGGGCGAAAAAAAAAGAAGGCTGAGCCGTTCCAAATTAAAATTCTTGATCGAATCAGTCGCCTAGCTTTTCACGAACTTCGCTCAAGGTACTACGCTCGGTGAAACGAAAGTTAGGCATTTGAACCTCGCCCAAGCCTTGGGGAAAAACTTATTACTAGCAGAATTGCCGATGTAGAATTTTCAATGTACCCTTGAGAGTGTCCACGAAATGCCCTCTCGTCCAATCACCAATACCCTTGAAAAAAACTAATAACCAAAAGAAAATGATCTTCTGTATACTGTGTGAGGGAAAATTAAAAGAGGAAGCCTTTTATTGTCAGAGAACTGAACTTGCTCGTTCGAATACAGCTTTATTAAGCTAACCATTCCCGTGCCAAGAAGCTGCTAATCTCGATTATAATAGTTTCCCTTTCTCACTCTTTTTCCTGTGTTTGTTTATTTCCTTTGTCTGTTTGTTTGATTAACATGGCTATGTTTTTGAACGGCCGTATGTCGCTGTAAATAAACTTTCGTTAAAAGAACTGTCTGTGATCTACAGCTGCTTGTTTCTAGAAAAAAAAAAAAGATAAAAAAAAAAAAGACTTTTTAATTAACATTTTTTTCCAACTTGTCAGTCGAACTTTTGCTGCAAAAATAAAAAGTCTTTACAGAGCAGTCGAAGTGTGGGACATAATTGAGTAAAGAATTACAGTAATTTTAATGCAAACTGTACAGTTCCTTACAGATATCATGTTCAACGTATCTCTAACAGCAACTATGCAACTTCAGGGCCACGCATGTTGTTGCTGCTTTCATTCCCGAAAACGATATTGATGTGAAGATATAGAATGCAATCTGACCTGAAGGAAATTGCAATTCGGATTTCAACGGTGTAAAATCTACTTATTCTTTGCATAACCATAAGCATTTGTATAACCATTTCATTAAACTATACTTGGCTATATAACTTTCGAAATTTTTCGGAGTTCCAACATAAGACAGCTAGCGATCTAAACTGCGCGTTCGCTTTCCCTCCACATTTACAAAGCAGGGAAATAATAATTAAAAAACTGACTACCACTGTAATGTGTCTTTTCCACACACTGTAAATTTTGACCTTAGTACAGTTTGCTCCACTTCAACAAGGCAATAAATGATGCCCGCCATCTAGGCAAAACACGTTTATAGAAGTTTTGTACAACTCTTTAACTTAGTCGCCTCAATCATACTAAGTCCAATGGACCTGTGTGGAGTTTGCTGGTCACCACAAAGGATGTTTAGTAAACATTCCTTTCCATTGCCGAGAATCAGCTTCCTATATGTAGAGGAAGAAATAAGTATCATCAAAACAAGCTAACAATACATAGACCGCGTACCAGTTATGGGCTTATGAGGATGAGGAGCTTGGTATAGGAAAAAGCATGGCCTCCTGGGAAGTCTTGGAAACTTTTTTACGCCAAAGTAGTCCTGAAATTAACGCGAACGTTCCGACTGATTTTTCGTCGGTCGGAATTGCGCTAATTAAAGCAACATAAGCCGTTTACTTCAATAAATCTCGAAAAGTTCTAGAAAATACACAGTTTTCGATTAAAACAGCGAAATGAAAACGTAATTAAATACGACCATTACAGAGGATCGATATTATACAGGACTTCACAGGATGGGAGGCCGCATATCTCATGCACAAAATAAAACAGGCACCAGCCCAAGAGAGGGCACAAAAGACGGGCCCTCAGCCCAAGTAAGATCTGCATCAACACAATTACAGATGTTTTCAAACGCACCTGGAGTTTTGAATTCAAAAACATTAATCTCTGTTCCAAAGTTTTCACTTCCTGTACACGTAAAGAGCAAAATATCAATAGTAATACTTCAGCACAAAAGTATACAACGACCTTGAGAATATTCAACAGACAAACCGATAGGACAAGAATACTCTAAAATTCTCGTTGGGAAAATATTTAGGTCGAGGTCATGAAATATGGTCCGTGCCAAGGAGGTCTATGCGTCATGACCAAAACTCAGGCAATAAGCATGTTATCGTGTGACCAATGAAAGACGTGACCTTTTTTGCCCATTCTGTTTCCTTTACGTTTTGGCACCGAAAGTAATGTGAGCGCAGGGTCGGACGGCTTTTCCGGACTGGCTCATATCAACCCACCCAGCCCAACACTCGTCAGCTTTCGCTATGGTTTTCAATGGAATTGCACACAGAAAGCCGGACAGGTCAGTTAGGAACAATCACTGTCATCACCTGATTATGTTCCAGCTACTTAATGATAAGTTTGTCTTTCTTTCAGGTTTCTGAAAGTTTTGAAAACTAGTTCAATTCAACCTACTTGGATAAATTTGGTAACTGTTGTCTCCAGTCTACTCACCGCGCTAAGTTTAGCATCTCGCAAGAGTGACAGTTGAGGAAGAGTTTCCTCCAGCCTGCTAATCTGCAAATTAAGATGTACATTATACAGTCACTTAAGGCATGAACACAACGCCCTGAATGCGAAGCGAAGTATAATTTCAGCTTCATTTAAGTGTTAACTGCTGTACCATTGTGCTTGATGTAGTGATTTCATACATGTTTGTCCCTTAAGTTTGAATATTTCATACATGCTGGATAGCACTACCACTGAGATACAGACAACTTTCTAAAGAGCTGGTTCATAAAAAAGTTCACATGTGACATTTTTCCTGTGCACTGCTGGGACTACAACAAACAAACAAAACAACAAACAACAAGCTTTATTACCAAATTGAGAAGTTAAACTTAATTTTCACACATAATATATTGATACAAAAAAAGGTAACATTTACTCAGAATAACTGAAAAGCTAATCTAGCTGAGTAAAAGTAAATAATGTTTAAATATAGGATGTAGGTTAGCACTAAAGCTTGAGTGAAGCAAATTATTGGTCAAAAAAAAAAAAAAGAGCATAAATACAAATTAATAAAAATAAGATGAAGAAAAAGCAACACTACAAACAAAAACTACAATAGGAAAGGTGTTTGTTTGTTTATATTTGTTTTTTTTAATTTTGTTTTGGAGAAATTTCAGTGACCTGTGACTAACACTGGCCAAATCTCCAATGTAGCGTCTAGGTCTGCTAATGGTTGGACAATAAATATGGTAATACAATGATAATTATTATTGTTACCAACGACATGCCAACAGACCAATGAAATATTTCTGAATGTTGACCATCTGCCAGCCGACAGTTGGCTGACAACAGTCTACAGGGTTTTTCAGAGACTCTTTCATTACGATTACCCTTGGTGGCAGGAGAATTAGCTTTGCATACATTACTATAAACAGATACATGTCTACCAACCACAGAAGATAGTGTAAAATTGAACGCACCCGCTTGGTAAATGTCGTTAACTTTCTCTGGTATGTTTCATTGTAACTGGGCACATCAATTCTTCTAGGACTGGGTTTTACTGCGGGAGCAAATTAAGTTAAAGGAACACATCAGTCATTGTTGTGTAATTGATATAAAGGTGAACCAATACTTAGGTTGCTATACAATCATGTAGATAAACTACAGTAATTGAAATGATAGATACATGTACTTTATTGTTATATGCTTAAGACTTCTTCCAGGCAGAGTGTTTGAGGTCTGGATTACACATAAGGTCAATTGTCTTATCACCAAAGTTTGATCATTATTTATTTCATACAAAGACTTTGGCAGCAGCTCCACCTCAAAATACCAACAGCTGAATTATCTGATAATCAGAGTTAATTGTACTTATTACAATAGGTCATAGTTCCTCACCTGTTGAATGTCTTCTACAAACTTCAAGAATGTAGGGGCTGTAAGAAATAAAATACAAGAATATGATTTCAGTTTTCAACAATGATAGTGTACCTGCAACCATACTGTCTGTCTGTATATACCAGCTGACAACATACTGGAATCACACAATCTCGCTTATGATTAAAGCACACACATACATATAGTTTATAATTTTTTCATCCTTTTTCTGAGTAAAAAACCAGTCATTGTTTTACTGGGTAAGGTAAAACTAATAAGTGCACACCATCTTAATAAAATAATACATGTAAATAGCACAGAAAAAAAAGTACCTTGTTACTGTATTTTCAGGAGTTCTTCTACTTAGTGGTATAAGAGAACCTCTGCCATTCCTTAGCTAAGAGAAAATAATGATGTCAACAACAACAATAATAATATTAATAAATAATAAATCAATAAAGGAGTTCTGTTAATGTACAAGGACATAGAAGAGAACTTGGATGTACAAACCTTTAAGACACTGGTCTTTTCAAATCCTGACAAACCAAGTTGCTCTGCAAGATCCTTGAAGCATCCAAAGGAAATAACATAATCAGTAAAATAAATAAATATTAAATAGAAATTAATAATAAATAATTATGCATAGATATTTAATCTTCAATTTGTTCGTTTGGTGTTGTGGATAGGGAAGGACTTTAGAAATATCATGGGAACAAAAATTTCAAATAGTCAATACTTTTATATGACTGTTTTCACAGTTATTTACATTTGTATAATTGTCAATTCAAGTTTTGGGCGAGTTTGTGTTGTGGTGAAATCATGTCCTTGATGTTTATCGTATCCCGTTGTTTTGGGTTATGGCAGTGTCAATAAAGAGCTGAAATCAAAGGGATATCAATCTAACCCTGGACAATAGTGAATCAGAACATACACTAAAATAAACTGTATGGTGTGATAAAAGCAAATTTTGTTTATTTCCATCTAATAAATAGTACACAGGCAGAACCCGTTGTAAGCCTTGTTCATTCACCTCTAAGAACTTGGTTTTTTCATAGACCTTGTCCTCCTCCTCTACTCCATCGACACAGTTGAACTGGAATCGCTTTAGATCAGACATGACTGTTGGAAGATCAGAAGACAATACACAGTAGCCTTCGGTGACCTTTTAACGCTTCAAACTACACCATTTAACCTTGAGCATCTATCAAATCATTTGTATCATGTAGAATAACTAGTACTTATAACTGAGAAATTACATGAAAGTGATGCAGTATGGAAGCGAAATATCGGGTATCATGATATCAAACTTATTGCGTGAAAACGAATCTGGTATACCTTCTCCATCTTTGACAATTATCCAAATGGTTCTCTTCTCGCTACTCATCCTCATATTGCGACAAAGAGTAGGTTCACGAGAAGAAAATTGTAGTAAATGTGTTCACTCGCCTGCGACCCTTCAGTTCTGCCGACCTTTTGTTGACTGTTGTTGTATATTTGTAAAGTTCGTGTCAAGATGGTTTGTTCAGCGGTTTACCATAGGAATGAGACTGGCTTCATTTAAGGTGAATTGTAAGACTGGTACAAAATGGCTGGTTCTTCAGACGGAGAAGTACGAACGGGTAGAGATCAACAAGTACCGTTTGAGGTAAACTTAAAGTGGATTGTATTTATTTGTTTTACTATATTTGCGGTGTTTTAACTTACGGTTGATTTCATTAGGCAACAGAGATTACGGATGAAGACAGAGCAGTTCTCAGAGATTGTGCAAGAAACAGTATTTGGTTCAGAGGTAGCCAATATGTCGAAATAAGCTTTAATAGAACCAACGATTCTCATCAAGACATCGCGGTATAATTTAGTTATAAAGGATTCTAGTTTATTAATTGAGGTTCGTGTCCACTGTAGCTAGTTGTTGATGGTGGTCCACCATGCAAGAAAAACTTGTCAGTCCAACAAAATTAAACTTTTTCCAAACCAATAAGTAGGTGAAAGAATGACTGAATTGCTGTTAGACAAGGTGACAAAAAATCGTTGTTGTTAATGTCGTAGCATAGTCCTGCAATTGTGCTTTTGTTTATCTTGATGTTGTTATACCATTGATAAAAGCCACTTTGCTGAATCAAAGGACAGGTTAACCCTTTTCAACTTAAGATCAGTATGCATATTCTCCTTATGGCTCCCTATACATTTCCCAGGTGTTGAAAAAGAGAGTTTGGTCAACAATCAATAGCTTCTTTAGTTGGTGATCATTTTCTTTAATATCATGACCTTAACCCTTTAACTCCCAGATCAAATTTGCAATTCTCCTCACTGTCGACCATACAATTCTTTTAATGTTAGTTCAGAGAATTTAGTATCAGATCAACTAATTATCCCCAAATTGATATTTTTCGTTGGTCTCATCACTTACCTGGTTGATATTGTATTGATATTGTAAGGAGAAATTCTGTCTTGGTCACTCATGGGAGTTAAAAGGTTAAAGTGTGATTAAGAGGTGATATTGTGGAGAGAAATTATATGCTTGTCACTCTTAGGTGACAAGCACCAAAGGGTTAAATTGCTCTACTTGTGGATGTTTTACTCAAAAGTGCAAAATTGAAGTTTTAATCTCGTAAAATTACAAAACAAATCATTGCATCTTGAATAATTTGTGCTTTGGGGTATATATTTATTTTTCTTATTTATAGGTATTCCTCTCGGTATTGTATCAACTTTTGGTCTAAGGGAATTGCTAATAAGAACAGGTAGGTCTATGAACACACCATTTAAAAACTATTCACCAAAGTAGAGGTGGCTATTGGTGGATATGTACATGTAGTAAGCCACAAAGTGGGGAGCCAAACACCAACTTCTAGCCACCCACACTGAGGTAAGTAGTTGTTTTAAATTATATTTGCAAAAACAGTGAGATAAAATTATGATTTTAACTCAGTTGTTCCTGGAATGATTACAATCTCTCAGGCAGAAATCCTGAGTGATTTGTTCAGAGGTGAATACCAAAGGATATTCAGAGTCGAGTAGACAACAAGAGCACACTTTCACTGCTATCCTACTGTTCTAGTAAATACTAATTGGTTTTATTAGAGAGTACCTTTTTTTCTCTCTGTCATGTGAAAGAGCACTTACCATTAACCAAGTGCACCTGGTTGGAAATTTAGCCAAAGGTGATTATTTAATTCCTGGGATTAGCAATAGAGGAATTTTCTAGTGTTTACAAAGCCTCATCTAATCACCTAGGTGATATAGAAAATCCTTAAATGTTAAGCAAATTGTCGACTGTCTGCTTTGTTCCTTCCAAAGGTTATGTAACCAAGCTGAAAAATTTCAAAGGGTTGGTGTACACTGGTAAGATACAATGTAAAGCATTAGAAAAGCTTCATTTA